CTCTCTGACCTCACTATCTTCCTGCTGAAGGGAAATCTACCAAACACCTTTAAAAGGTGAACTTGGGAACAAAAATTTGTAAGCTGTCTGGACACCAAGAACCAAGGACTAAACCCTTGGCACATGTGCCAGAGCATGGCACGAGAAGGCATTTTGCTTGGCTTGTGCACCTTGGGGCAGATGGCAGGGGAGCTGCAAGAGGCCCAATCCTTTTTCTGGTAGTATAGCCCAGGCCCCTTCCCCACCATCCACCTCAAGGTATGCGTGCATCTGCTACTGAGAACAAGCTGGGCTGGGGCTCCACACGCCGAGGTGCAACTGCTTGCAGCCCCCCTGCCAGCTGCTATGAGCAGCCCGGGCTCCATGGTGGGCAGCAGGGGCCTGCCCAGAGTCCAGGCCAGCTGTGGCATGCAGCCAAAAGGCATCAAGAAGCTGCACCAGGACCTGTGGAGGCCCAGCTCAGCTCATTGCTGGTGGCAGGTGCACACATACCTTGAGGTAGACAGCAGCGAAGGGGCCAGGGCTGCACTGGCACAACAAGGATCGGGCCGCTTGCAGCTTCCCCACCATCCACCCTTGGCATACCAACATCCTGATGTCATTCAATACGGAAAAATGCAAGGTGTTCCACCTCAGGAATAAAAACCTGCATCATGTTTATAGCCTCGGCAATGCTACACTCACTAGCACCATGACCAAAAGAGACCTGGGGGTCATGATTGACCACAAGATGAATATGAGCCACCAATGCAATACTGCAGCTGGCAATGTAAATAAAACTCTGGCTTGCATCTACCAATGCATCTTGAGCAAGGCCCAGGATGTCATCCTCCCACTGTATTTGACCTTGGTGAGGCTGCAGCTGGAGTACTGCATCCAATTCTGAGCTCCACAATTTAGGAAGGACATGGAGAAGCTTGAAAGAGTCCAGAGGAAAGCCACACACATGATGAGAGGGCAAGAGAACAGGCCTTATGAAGAGAGGCTGCAAGCTATGGGACTCTTCAGCCTGGAGAAGCGCAGGCTCAGGGGTGACATGGTGGTAGACCAGAAGTGCATAAGGAGTGTGCATCAGGATCTGGGGGAACACCTGTTCACCAGAGCACCTCAGGGGATGACAAGATTGAATGGTCGCAAACTCCTGCAAGACCATTTTAGGCTGGACATAAGGAAAAACTTCTTTACTGTCTGAGCCCTCAAGGCCTGGAACAGACTCCCCCCAGATGTGGTGGAAGCACCTACTCTGGACACTTCCAAGAAACATTTGGACACTTATCTTGCTGGGATCCTTTGACCCTAGCTAACTTTCTGCCCCTTGGGCAGGAGGCTGAACCTGAAGATCTTACAAGGGGCCTTCCAGCCCTAATGTCTATGAAATCTATGAAATCTTAGAAGTTGAGGTTGCAAGTGTTTTTGGCACTCTGCTGAAAAATGTTGCCAACCCTGAACTAAACATTGATCCATTTTATAGCACATTATGTATCTAGCTTGTGGTGCTCTGGCAAGGTGCCAGAAGACTGGAAAAGGGCCAATGTGGTCCCCATTTTCAAAAAAGGGAGGAAGGAGAACCCAGAAAATTATAGGCCCATTAGTCTTACCTGGGTCCGGGGGAAGTTCTTTGAGAAAATTATCCAGGTGCACATCTGCGAGGGGCAAGCAGGGGAGTGTATGCTTAAAGGCAACCAACATGAGTTCATTAGAGGCAGGTCCTGTCAGACCAACCTGGTGGCCTTCTACGACCAGGTCACCAA